CACTGTATTTATAACACCATAGGAATAAATATACTTACGTACGTGCAAGTATTTATTTATCCTACCCATTCATATATATATATATATATATATATGAATTAAATTATTAACCCTTACGCCCCTTTTGTTTAAAATAATTGCTCTGTCCGTTCCCATAGTAATTTTAATTTCAATAATGAATATGCTTATAAAACGCGTAAATTTCAATAATTAGTTATTCCAAAAACAATTTCGCTTGAAGATGGATCAGAGCTTGGTACTTTAATTCAATTTAATTCAAATAATTATATTGAAGTTTTCGGCTCTTGCTTTGAAACATGAAAACTCTTATGTAGCGGTGGAATCATATTTTTAAATAAATTATTATATTTATGCTCTACTTTTGTATCGAGCACTATTTTTTGAAAATAATAACAAAAATACTAAAGAACTTTGGATTATTTACCTAACGAGTTCTTTCCTATTTTCTATATATTTTACACACACACACACACACACACACACACACACACACACACACACACACACACATATATATATATATATATATATATATATATATATAAAAGAAAAACAGGCCACTTTAAGGTACCGTTATAATAATTTATTTCACCAGAACACTTTTAAAGGACGCCGGATCATCAGATAGCACTTCCAAAACTCTGAAGAGCCGAATATACAGAAACGACACTCTTGATTTCTCCTTCTCTTTGCCATTGAAACCTATAGAACTCAGGGACCTGAAGGGAGAAGAAGAGGATTAATAACTTCCCCAAGTGTATATTAGCAGTTAATGTAATGGATTTGACTGGAATTCGAACTCAGCTCTCCGATTCCTCAATCCGAGAAGCTATACACTGCTTCAACGTGCCTTATATATATATATATATATATATATATATATATATATATATATATATATATATATATATATATATATATATATATATACGGTGCAGTAATGGATTGAGGAATCGGCTCGGATTGAGGAATCGGAGAGCCGAGTTCGAATTGCAGTCGAATCCATTAAATTCACTTACGTGCTAATACCCTTGGAAAAGGTATGAATCCTCTTCTCCCTCCAGCTATGGGTAAAATAGCAGGACAGAATGGGTTCTATAGCCTTGGATGTCAACTGGAGTAGGAGAAGTAAAACTCTGAATTCAAAGCCCGCGGAGAGTCGTTTGGGGACCTTGTGGCACGTATTCGGCCCTTCAAAGTGTGGATGGTTCTGCAGAAAACCTTCATCAATATAATCAAATCACCTGTGCTGGTGTCGGGCTCTTGGTTTCCTAGGAACTGATCTGCTTGACCCTCATAAGTCGAATTCGTCGGGAGAGTCGAGTATATATATATATATATATATATATATATATAATACTGACTGGCCACTCGTATGTTGGTCTACTAGGGCGGCTAGCAAATCCTTGTTGCAGGCGATTGTTCAGGCACATTCTGTGTTTGTTCGAGACCCAGAGAGCACCCCCACTTATGGTTTATACTGCAACTATGCTGAGCAGAACTTAGTTACAGTTTCTCATATCTAGTGCGGTCAATAGTCTGAACAAGTATGCTCATACCCTCTTGTCACGATCATCGACGAAAGATAGAGTTCCGTTTACGCAATTTCACCCACCCGTGGTATGATTTTCAGTACCGCACACTGGGATTGCCTCCCCTAGACCGATAACACCAATAAGTCACCCTCCTGACAAATTGCACAAGGAGAGATTCGGATCTCAGGATCAGAAAGCGAACTTTCTACCCACATCGGCTACGTGCCTATTATAGATATATTAATTATATTATAGATATTATTATATTATAGATATTATTATATTATAGGTATTATAGATATTATAATTATATTATAGATATATTAATGTCAACCGTTCTGGATACTATTGAGTTTATTGATTTGTTTTCTACGGCTTATCATCCTTTTTCAGGTTATTTAAAGCCAGAAAATAAGATAATAATGATTTAGTCTGTTAATAATAATTGAGTGATATCATGCTAATTAACCTGTAGCTAGAATGCCACTCAAACACTCTTAAATGTTTGTATTAGAACAGCAGGGCGTTTCCAAATTTCTAGCGGACTGAATTGCGTTATAATGTTCTTTTTCTCATTGACGGTGCCCAACTGACCCTACTATATTGAGCAATCGACAAAATTAAAAACAAACAACGCACATGCGTGAAATGAAAAATCATAAAATGGCGCCAATTTACACATCGCCCCCTGTATAATCACATAATAAGCGATGATTCGGTGAAATCTCATACATCGAAGGTGATGTCCATTATATATATATATATATATATATATATATATATATATATATATATATATATATATTTTTGGATAGATCCAACCAAATATGTTAGCTCTATCTCTGATATTGAGCGCTTTCTAATAAGTACCATATATAATATATAAATAATTATACATATATATATTTATTTATATTTATATACACTTTTCACATATATATATATATATATATATATATATATATATATATATATATATATATATATATATATATATATATATATATATATATATATATATATATATATATTTGATAATATCAGTGGTCAATATATATATATATATATATATATATATATATATATATAATTTCCAAGAGGATAGAATCCATGTAGAACTCAATGTCCAGGATAGAGTAAGAATATAATATAAAAGGCTCAAACATTAATATTCCATGGTTATAATTTATTACATTGGAATCGTAATCACGATCAATTCATCAGACCTACAAATTCAAAAATTTAAAATTTGTAGGTCTGATGAATTGGATCGTGATTCCGATTACAATTATTATTAGTGTTTGACCCTTGTGTGTGTGTGTGTGTGGGGGTGTGTGTGTGTGTGTGTGTGTGTGTGTGTGTGTATATAAATATATATATATATATATATATATATATATATATATATTTATTTAGGGGTTAACTATTTACCCATAGTTGGGACCCTCCCAGATGCTACCATCTCGAATCAGGGGTGAATCTAGAAACAACAGAAATTATGATATGGTTCTGCTCTCCTCAGAACCTCCTGTTCAAAGGCCTTTCTGCCGAATGTAGTTTATAGTCATACCCAGGACGATATTATTTGTATTATTTCACTTTCCGCGCCAGCAGTATCTATAGTACTCAATAGAGATCAAATGACAGCATATCTTCTCAATATGAATACATTCTTTATTATTATTATTATTATTATTATTATTATTATTATTATTATCCTCATTATTATTATTATTATTCGAACGATATGAAGGTTTCCTTGTATACTTAATAAAATATCGTTAATTAAAGATAACAATCTTTTCTTTCTCTCACACCTGGACTAATATTATCAAGGTGAGAGAACAATATGATTAGTTCACCACCCGGCACTTGCGTATCGATAATATATAGGTTCGATATCGAACACCCAAAACAGAACAAATGCCGATTCCTATCCAAGCTAATCATAAAAGATGTGTGAACGCGAAAACGCTGGATGTTAAAAATATTTACTTTAAATGTAGTGATGGATTTGGGTATGAAATTAACACTTAATAGAAGAATATTTATTTTTTTCAAACATACTATTCACATTTCCTCACAGATGAAGAGGAGACTTGAAGCAACGGAAATGTGGTTCTACAGAAGGTGGCTGAGAATATCATGGAGGGATCATGAGAGCAACGAGGAAGTTTTAAGGGAAATCAGAACAAAATGGAGATTTGTATTCAAGACAGCAAGAGGCAGTTGTTATTTCTGGGGCACATGACGAAGAAAGAGAGCTTAGCGATTTTGACACTTACATGACATATTGAAGGAGAGTTACGTAAAAGGAAACAGTGAGTAATCGACCAAACGAATTTGTGTAAAGGGTTTGCAGAATATGGATTAGGAAGGAGATTAAGGGTACCAGAATTTCTTACAACTAAATAGGATATCGTGGAGATCTTGTTCATCCATGTTCCAAAGGGACACGGTGCATAAAAGAAAAAGGGCGATAGTTTGCAATCATTGCTTGAAGATATTTTTCGTCACTGTTCACACGGTCTTTGAAATAAAAGACATTGGTTCAAGAATTTCAGGTTGTAATATCAGTCCCTTTATAATGAGGCTATATTGGAGGAAAACAACCAAACCTGTCATGAGCTTGCTGAAGGATTCTAAGTATGATGAAACAGACAGACTTCACCTGCACCGCATCGGGTAAGTGTACAGATTGAGCAAGTGGGTACCCCACACACTGTCTGAAGCCAACAAGCAACGAGTGACACTCTTTTTTTCGTTGCTTCCTCGGCACCACAACTCATACTTATATTTGATCGTGTGCACACCAGTGACGAAAAGTGGGCCTTGTATGAATCTCCCATTGCTTGGGTGTAGATGCGAACTTGTGGTATGAGGCACACAGTCCTGTGGTGACAAGCAATGCTCTGTATCTGGTGGACTAGTCGACAAGTGGTGCACTATTAGCTCCTACCAACGGGCTAAGCAATCACGGCGGAATAGTACCTGCAACAGTTGCAAAGTGTGCAACAGGCACTGGAGCAGAAGGGAGCAGCATTGTTTAATCACAAGTGTGTATTATTCATCTGTGACAAAGACTTTATATGACGTAGCGGGGGTGGCAGGGATACCATACGTTGACTTGGCTGGGTGTCAATGTGCTATCCACCTTACTTACCGGATCTTGTGCCAACAGATTACCATCTCTTCCATTCACTTGACAACCAGCTACGTGAGAAATCCTTCGTAAATGAGGCAGACTTGCGGCAGCCACTCACAGACGTAGTTTCGTCTGAGGGACCTGATTTTTTTTTACCGCCAGGCCATACACGTTGGCAAAAGTTTCTGGATGCCGATAGGGATTATGCTGAGGACTAACTGTGTACGTTTTTGTTTACTAATGAATCTAAAACACAAAGAACTTTTTGTTTACCTTCATAATAGGCAAAGACCTTATGTTCACGCATAGATAGATAATGAAAAGACTAAGATAGATAGATAGATAGATAGATAGATAGATAGATAGATAGATAGATAGATAATGAAAAACTGAAATAGATAGATAATGAAAAAACTAAAATAGATAAAAGTCTGAAATAGATAGATGGATAGATAGATCATGAAAAGACTGAAATAACAGATAGATAGATAGATAGATAGATAGATAGATCATGAAAAGACTAAAATAATAGATAGATAGATAGATAGATAGATAGATAGATCATGAAAAGACTGAAATAATAGATAGATAGATAGATAGATCATGAAAAGACTGAAATAATAGATAGATAGATAGATAGATCATGAAAAGACTGAAATAATAGATAGATAGATAGATAGATCATGAAAAGACTGAAATAATAGATAGATAGATAGATAGATAATGAAAAACTGAAACAGATAATGAAAAAACTAAAATAGATAATGAAAAGACTGAAATAGATAGATGGATAGATAGATTATGAAAAGACTGAAATAATAGATAGATAGATAGATAGATAGATCATGAAAAGACTGAAATAGATAGATAGATAGATAGATAGATAGATAGATAAATAGAAAAACTATGAAGGAAACAGTTTTTGTATATTAAGATATAAAATGTTAAATAATCAGCAAATTTCTATTGAGAAAATTAAGCTGCAGAGACACAGACGCATAGACATACACATACGCACACACACGAACGATTCCACCTGTTAGGTGTACAAGTACAAGAAGCAGTGGTATAACCATACCTTATCTATTAGAATTCCAGATCGCAAGTTCAATACGAAGCTGGCAAACCGTTATTGGAGCTTTAGGGATAAGCCTAACAGAAGCCCGGTCATTAAATGGAGTATTTTACGAAAGGTAAAGACTAGCCCAGTGAATGGCAACACGTGTAGACTGTGTCAGGAGGAGAAGCTCGCTATAGCAACACACAAAGCTGGCGCTGAGTTGTTGAACGGGAGGTCTGAAATCATAGCCAAATGTAGACACGTGAGGAAGTTAATTTCGCAGATATACGAACGCGGATAAAGTTGGGATTTTTTTTTCACTACAATCCCGCCATCACTTCCGGTGTCGAATGAAGGAATTTAAGTTGTTGAGTTGCCTTTGATTGATTCGCTGAACAGACCACCTGACGAGACCTTGGCGGTCGAAACCCCGGTAGTGTTCCGGCCAGTGTTCTTTTTTTAAATATTCCATCGCACTGCAAGTATGGTTTTCCTACTTGAAATTGTGTACTTTTAACGCGTTGATTTTTGAATATTTCAGTTTTATATATATATATATATATATATATATATATATATATATATAAAAGTGAACATAGAAGTCAACATTAGAGGCGACAGTCTGTTTCATGCTACATGCAATCGTCAGGTGGCATGACGATTGCGTCTAGCATGAACAGCCTGTCGCCTCTAAGTGTTGACTTCTATGTTCACTTTTATATTTACACACGCTCTATCTCTGATATTGAGCACTTTATCCCATAAATATAGCACATCTTAAGACTATATTTCTTCATAAGAATATATATATTGAACAATAAAAAAATTTAAAAAATTAAAATCTTTAGACACACTGGGTTGTAGATTAATATTCTTTCGTTTTTTTAGATTCTTCGACTAGTTTCGACCAAAATGGCCATCATCGGAAGGAGAAATATTTCTGCTTGCTGTTAGCACTAAACTACAGAAATGAGTCTTTTGTTGGAGAAAATGAACTTTTGTCTGTAGTTTTCATTTGTTTTTTTATTTTTTTTATCTTTTTAACATGAATCTTTTAACATTCCTTGTGTTTGTCAAACAGTCTCTTTTAAGTTGTTATTTGAGATAATAGCTGGACAGATACACGTTGCTCTGAATTCTCTGGTCAGTTTGACAGTTTTATTGGACCTGGTGAGGGGATGTGTCTCTGTTTAGTGTTTGTGTGTGTGTCATTTGGTTCTTATGAAGTGAGTGAGTATGATATGTGTAAGCATGTGTATTGCTGTGGGTGTGTGTTATCATTTGGCTCATTAGGGAGGGAGTGAGTATGATGTGTGTAAGTGTGTATATATTCGTGTGGGTGTGTGTATAAGTGTGAGGCCTCAACACCTCCGTAACCATGTCTGTCTTGTGTGCGTGAGAAATGTGGGTAGGTTTTGATTTGTTGACATATATTAATACTATCTATATTGTTAAATTTATGATTTAGCCCGGCTGGAAAGCGTGTTTTTAAACGTTGTATCCACTTATTTTCATGGGACTCTAAAATCATTCTAATGTATATCTGCTCTGGAATATATATATATATATATATATATATATATACCAATGACTATCAATGCATGTGTGCATGGTGCATTGTCCTGTTGCCAGCTAAATATTTTTATTTTATGTATTTACATTAGTGTGGGACATACTTCAATTGAGTAATCATGGTATTTCATTTGTTATTAAATTATAAAATTAATTGAAGAAAATTTTATAGTATTTCAAATTTTCTTATTTTTGTATTTTCGAAAGGTTAATGAAAGTCAATAAAATATTAAATAATTGCGGAAAATATGTTCATTTATAAAAATTACTAAGTAGTTAAAAACCAAAAATATGCGTTCACTTAGATTTCTGACAATTGGATCATCCATAGTAGCTGTTATCGCTTCGTCTATCAGCAGTCCATCAAACGTTGGATCAGATGAACAGGACCAATCGTTAATAATTGGTAGTATATAATTTTTAATGTTATAAGTAAGTAATATTTTTTTTCAAATCAGGTTAATTTAACTTTAAATTTTCTAATTTTACTAAAATAACGTGTCAGATGTATATATTTATTTTTTGAAAGTATTTTAAAATAGAAAAACTTGTTTTGCTTACAAATTTCTTAAATGGCCGCTTTTAAGAAAATTTAAAAAAATCAAAATTAAATTTGACATTCCAATCTATATAATTTCTTATCTGAAATACTCCAGAATATTTTACTTAGTGGAAATAATAAATTTAATTATTAAACTTTCAATTAAAGCTAAAATGATATCTTCAAGAAAGATTTTTCATTTTTAAAATTTAATTTTAAACCTTAGGTATCGGAAATTTGTGCCGAAAAAGTGAAGGAACCTATAATATACTGTGTAGTCGACAATATAAAAAAGCAACGCACATGCCCGAAATTAGAAATATAAAATGGCGACAATTTACTAGTTGGCGCCTTGTGCCGCGCCAGGAAATTTTTCTCCCCGGAATCGATCCTTCAAATCTACAAATCAACCATTCGCCCTTGCATGGAGTATTGCTGCCATATATGGTCTGGGGCCCCTTCTGTTTGCCTCGGGGTTCTTGATAAGATCCAGAGACGGATATGCAACGTAATTAGCCCTGATCTGGCATCTCGTCAGCAGTCGCTCTCTCACAGATGCACCATCGCCTCTCTCTGTCTTTTCTACAAATACTTTCATGGGAATTGCTCTGATGAGCTACTTTCGCTGGTTCCCAGACTTCATGAATTCAAGCGTCCTACGAGGCTGGCATCCCACTCTCACCCTTTCACTGTTGAAACTGTTAAATGTAGCCGTCTCTTCTACTCCAATAGCTTCATATCTCACACCTCTCGCCTGTAGAACTCCTTTCCCTATTCCTGTTTCCCTGATAGCTATAATCTCCAACTATTCAAATGTAATGTCAATCGACCTCTCCAGTTAACTTGATCTATCCACTATCCTTCTCCTCGTCCTTTCCTCTATCACTCCTATCTGCTCTCGCTCCAAATCCTCTGTAACCCCTTGCGTGCTAGTGGCTTCCCGCCTTGCTAGGGGGTGAATCGATTAATATATATATATATATATATATATATATATATATATATATATATATATATAATAATAATAATAATAATAATAATAATTTTTTTTTTTTTTTTACTTTCCTTCGTCCCATCTCTCTCCCCCACCTCCTCTTTCCCTTTCCCTCCCTCTTATTATAGCATTAAATTGTCTATGGTGTGTGTATGTCACCACGAAATGTATCTTTATGCATTAGACATCCGTTAACATTCATTCTCTTCTCTTATTTAAACCCCTTCCCCCCACATCTCCAAAAATTCTCTCTGTTAAGGTTCAATCTCCCTCCTCCTCATACTTACACTTTCTCTAAATTCTGTTTTTACTTCCGGAGTGAGTTTTTTCTGTTTTCTTTTTGAATTTGTAGGTCTGATGAATTGGATCGTATTTACGATTCCAATGGAATAAATTATGACCATGGAATATTAGTGTTTAAGCCTTTTTATTATATCCTTACTCTGTCCTGGACATTGAGTTCTACCTGGATTCTTCCTCTTGGTATTATTTTTTTTTCTAAAAATATACATGCATGGGTATTTATATATTTTGCATATGTATGTATATTTACCACTAATATTATCTATCTCTCTCTCTCTCTCTCTCTCTCTCTCTATATATATATATATATATATATATATATATATATATATATACATTAAATATTAATGGTAAGAGTTGAATTAGAACATAAAACAGTAGTATTAAAAAGTGCTCAATACACGCGTGAAAAATGAAAAATTTAAATAAATTAACAATAGAGCTTTTAACTTTAAAAATCAGGTCAGTTGAATACGCGACCTTGGTTTCAATCTTATGGCCTCAAGAAGTGATTTTTTATCATCTGTCCACCGAACGCTTTTTTATTTAAAAACAAAACCGCAAAGAACGCTACATTATTATTTTTTTTAAATAAATAAACAAACGCGCGACGATCAAACACATGGCGTTGAGTAGAAAGTGGGTGTGTGTGGAGAAAGAAGAAAAAGGAAAAGAAGTAGAAGGAGTGTGTGAAGAGAAGAAGAAAAGAAGAGAAAAACAACCGTATCGTAAATGTATAAAGAAAAGGAAGAAGAAAACAAAAACAAATGTATCGTAAATGTAAGGAAAAGTGGGAAGGGAAGAAAAGCAAACGTATTGTCTGCACAGGGCAGGACGTTGTAAACTAATAATAACAGACTCCAAGATGTCTAAATGGAATCCGTTCCGTGCCCTGTGAAAGACAGGGAAGAACTCAAGAGAATAGTCCTTCCTGGAAGTAAGAGAATTCAATAAATGCTCGCTAAAAGCGGAGTCATGAGCCTGTGAATACCCGGATGTTACAGGCTCATGTTTACGCACCTGGCCCAGGACATGGTAGGTGATCCTAACCTCTAAAATATACGCACACACGCACGCGCGCGCACACACACACACATCTATCTATCTATCTATCTATCTATATATCTATATATATATATATATATATATATATATATATAAACCTTTTTTTAATGACAGTAGATAAATAAGCATAGCTGGAATGGGAAGTATCCCCATCCACCAAAAATTACAAATGGTTGAAAGAAAGAGTTTAACAAAGGAAGTAAAATGAGAAAGTTTTAATGAAATAGAAGCGGAAGCCCCATAACATAGATAGAGAGAAGTGAACATACTGAGATAGGTAAGTACATAGATAGATAGATAGATAGATAGATAGATAGATAGATAGATAGATAGATAACGAAAAGAGATAGATAGATAGATAGATAGATAGATAGATAGATAATGACCACTCAGGCATTGATAGTCGACCCGCCATTTTGTATGTGTTGTCAAATCCGGCTGCAGCCTAAATTTTTCAGCCATTTGTTTTTCTCGCTATTTCCAATTTTCTTTGTTCACTCTCATCGATTGCAGTCATGTTTGTCCACCATCTTTTCTTTTCAAATAAGAAATATCAAAAATAGACTTCGCATTGTGGCGCGGTTTAATTTTATCTCGAAGCCAGATTAGTGGCTATATTTAGGAGAAGCAATGATCCCGATCCTATGAGCAATATACGTTCTTGCTTCTAAAGCCAGGATTGTTTGTCATTGTAATTAGGGCAAAAGCTATGTTCGTTTCCTGTACATTGCTACGCCAGTTCGAAAGTCGAAGCTGAAAATGCCACATCAATCTACACATAAATCAACCCAGTATCTACCTACATCACTACTCAAGATGCACGTCAAACTCCAAAAAGAAACAATTAGAATAAAGCTTTACTCACTTTAAAGCATTAAATTCGTGAACAAGGAATATTTCTATTAGATGGTAGTGCCATGCCTATAAGATAGTATTTATGTTCTTTGGTGTGTTTTGACAATATCCGGTCTGTTGGTTTGTATAGCGCGTTCAGTGTGCATGGTGGAACCCCAGAGAAAAATAATGTCGGCAAAATTTAAGAAACGCTCTTAAAAAAAAAAAAATCAAATAAGAACAGTGTGTTCAAAGGAGACGCTTTTTCTTTTGACACCGCTTTTCCTCTCTACTCCTTCGGTAATTTTCATTGTTGCAAATGGCTATTTTTAGAATTTTAATAAAATCCAGATAAAAGAAACTGGATTTTTATAAATTTATTAATAAAACTATTTGCTTTCGTAGTTAGTTCGTTATAATATGGTAAATAATATTGAATTGTAATTGGTTTACATATTTTTATAATCTTATAAATATAAGATTATTCTTGTAAATAAGCAATCTAACAAGTCAGTAGTATTTAACATCTTTGTTGTCAGATCTCGAGACAAAAACCAAAAGTATAAATCTAGTTTCATATGTTTTAGCTCTACCAACATTTTAAAAATAGATTTTAAAAACAATAAAAATTGCCGATGGAGTATGCAGTAATAGTTTCAATAAAAAGAAAATCTTCCTTCTGACATACTTTTTTTCCTGAATACGTCTGTTATGCTATGCCGTAATACCATTACATAAAATACATGGGGGCGAGTTTAGTCCATACCTTTTTTATATAGGTCGGTTAGTTTAGTGTTGGGATATTTTACAAGGACATTTTTTACCTACTCTAAAAAGCCGATTTAATAATAATAATAATAATAATAATAATAATAATATAGTTAAGAGAAGAGCGCGATTTAAGAAAAGAAAAAAAACTACTTGACAATTGTGAATTGTTGAAATATTGTCTAACACTGTCAAACGCTGTGCTTTTTCTTTTCTTAAATCACACATTTGATGATGAAAGATATTGAAAGTGTTACGTCAATCATTTTGTTTAATAATAATGATAATAATAATGATAATAATGATGATAATAATAATAATAATAATAATAATTGGAATATCTGCAACTTTTATGGTTTTACGGAAAGGAAAAATGCAAGAAATTGATATGAACATCACCCAGACCCAGTTACAGTGATAGGATCTGTAAGAATTTCATGGGACTTTACAATACACAGAGACAGAATAATCAAAGCTAATCGTCCAGACACCCTGATCCGAGGTCACAAAAACAGAATGCGCCTTCTCATTGACATGGCATTCCCTGCAGACTGGAATATATCTTTGAAGGTCTTCAAAAAATATCAAAATAGTTCAAGTCGAAATCAAGAAAATATGGCACATAAGGACATCAATAATTCCAGTTCTAGATGGAGTCCTCGGAGCGACTGGAAAAGGTTCTGATTGGCTCACTGAAAGAATAACTGGTAACCTAAGCTTTAAAGAAATACAAAGAATTGTACTCAAGTCCAGTTCACACTTTACGAAGGGCTTTATCTATGTAAAATGTGTGTGTTCTTCGTCCTTTTTTTTCACAAAAAATGATTCTTGGAAAATGTCATGAAGCCATTTCTGACCTTAGGTCTTTGGTTAGAAGTAAATGTGTATACAACAGAATTCAAAGGAAATATAATAATAATAATAATAATAATAATAATAATAATAATAATAATAATAATAAGCACAATACACCGAATGAAGCTGCTAAATACATAAAAAAGAAAGCAAAGACAAATGCAACCGACCAGATACAGAAACAATGGCAAGATAAACCGCTTCCTGGCCAATACTCTGCCCGTACCATACAAGCTGATGTAGACAAGCCCCGTACACATCAGTTGCTATGTAGTGCAGAGTTAAAAGCTGGAACGGAAGGTTTTATCCTTGCTGCACAGGATCAGTGCTTGTTAACTGGTAATTATCAAGCACATATACTAAAATATAGTGTTAGCCCAAAATGTAGGTTCTGTGATAATTACCTAGAAACAATCGATCATCTTGTATCAGGTTGCACGATATTTGCACCCACTAAATATAAAACCCGGCATGACAGAGTGGGCCAATATCTGCACTGGAAAATCTTATACTTCTACGGGAATGAAACTGAAAGAAAATGGTATGAACAACACCCAGGCCCGGTTGCGGGGATAGGATCTGTTACAATTCTATGGGACTACACAATACACACTGACAGAACAATCAAAGCCAACAAACAAAAAAAGTGCCCCCTTATTGATATGGCAGTCCTTGCTGACTGCAATGTATCTTTGAAGATATTCTAAAAGCTGTCAAAATATAAGGACCTTGAAATCGAAATATCAAAAATGTGGCACATGGGAACATCAACAATCCCCGTTGTAGTTGGGGCCCTAGGATTGGTTGGAAAAGATTCCAGTAGACTAATTGAAGGGATTTCTGGAAGCCCATGCTTTAAAGGAATACAAAAAATTGTTCGCACGAGTACAGCCCACACCTTACGAAGGGCTTTGTCTATGTAATTTTTTTTTTCCAGTGGAAAATGTCATGATGCCATTTCTAACCTTAGGTTCCTGGACGGGACCCGGAAAGAAATGAGTACACATCAGAAATCAAAGGAAATATAATAATAATAATGAATTTCTTGTGCAAATGAAAAACAAATTTATATATAAGACAGTTCATTCATTTTTCGAAAGATAGACACTAGAGGTAGGTGAGGAAGGGGCAACGTGAACAAAGGTTAGTTGTAAAAAAAAACTGAGGGGTTATTAATGAAAGATTGGGATCAGGCATTACAGATAAAATGGGTAAAGTTGAATGTTGATGAGGTCAGCAATTCAACGTTATGTAGAATGATTGTTTTACTTGACCTTAATAAAATGCCACAATTCTTATGAACTTACCGTACCTCGATAAAATGAAGCATTTCATATTAATTTACTTTACCTCGGTAAAAATGCCACATTTCATATTAATTTACTTTACCTCGGTAAAAATGCCTCATTTCATATTAATTTGCTTTACCTCGGTAAAATGCCGCATTTTATATAAATTTGCTTTACCTCGGTTGAATACGGCATTTGATATCAATTTACTTTGCATCGGTAAAACGCTGCATTTCATTTGGTACAACCTAAAAGAAATATCGCTTACAGAGAGTTCAAAAGAAAATACAAAATGAAACTGCATAGAAACTTCGTGACTTCGAGATTCTCGCAAAATGCGGGAGCCCAAAAAATGAAAGAGAAAAAAAGAATATAACATTATTTAAAAAGAAAAGAAAAGAAAGTGTAATGTCTCCGTCAGGGAATCGGCTTTTTTTTAGAATTCTGCATTTGAAGCAAAGAAATGACCATTGTAAATTAGAAACGGGTACACACCAATGGAACATATGTCGATTTATTTCCGTCGAAATTGAACACGGTCCAAAGGCGACCATACATATCGATTTCTATTTTATGAGGTAGAAATATCATCTTAAACTCTGGGTTTGCTAGAATGCATCTATTCAACATATATGAAGGTTGCCATTCCCTGCCAAGCGCCAATGTCTTAACGGTATATTCTCTACCTGACACCAAATCAGTCGGGTTTCGATCCCGGCTTGAGGCAATCAGATGTCTAGCAACATTGATGAGCTGCGAAACAGTCTGTCTGTGGACGACAATACAATATATATATATATATATATATGTACACGAGCAAAATCACCCGCACATCTGTGTGTGTATATATATATATATATATAAATAAAATTCTTCGTATATTTTTTGTATGCGATTCAGATCAAGTCTCTAGTTTCCGGGGAAAATTTAAACATAAATTTTCGAATTCCTTTTGAGTTTTTTTTTGGGTGGGGGGATCGTGAGAGGTAACATACTTTTATCAAATAATATGGGGTGTGTCTATATGTATACATATTGTTTTTTGTTTTGTTTTTTTTTTCTTTTTTTTTGTAGGGGTGTCTTTCTGAGTATTTTAACTTTCTTGTTGCATCTTAGGAACTAAATTTTTCTTGAAGCAAACAAATGACCATTGTAAATTAAAAACGGGAACACAGCACTGGAACATATGTCGATTTATTTCCGTCGAAATTGAACATGGTCCAAAGGCGACCATACGTATCGATTTCTATCTATTTTATGAGGTAGAAATATCATCTTCTTAAACTCTTGGTTCGCCAGAATCCATCCATTCAATATATATACAGGTTTTCTTTCAATATATATATATATATATATATATATATATATATATATGTGTGTGTGTGTGTGTGTGTGTGTGTGTGTGTGCAAATTCATACACACCCTGCACATATCTCTTGCTCTCTCTCTTCATATACATATGTATATATATATACTAGCAACATGGCTCGGCGTTGCCCGTGCTTGATTAAAAAATCGTACGACTCATACAGCAATCGCTATCACTTGACTTAAAGTATTTTTGCTCTTCTTTGCCTTTAAAGGAGTGCCCTTTGCCGTGCTGATGTTGCTACATGCCTTACTTCTTGCCTATCTCACACTGCGAATTTTTTCTAAGCTCTATACTAAACATTAAATCTATTACGAAAAAAGAACTAAACAAAATGAATACAAAAC